TATGTTTTTCATTATTAAGTTTAATGCATGTTAAACTTCTTTAATTCAAGTAATTTTAGCTCATTTTCATGTTAAAAGTTCTCATTTAAAACATCACTAATTTAGTTTTTGTTTTGAAGGTTCTTAAATGTTAATGTTTCGTCATTGATGAATAAAGTCCTACGGATCCTTAGTTAAGTGCTAACTTACATTAGTGGAGATGGAGATGAAAAGCAAACATATGAAGCTCTAAACTAGTTTGAAGTTTGCATGAGCATAAACCTATCCGAAGTGCATGATATTCATTATAAGAGATTTCACACACACACGGAAATCCATTAAAAAATGAGCTTACATTTGAATGTAATGTGAACTTTGATAATACTTGTGTCTACTTTGAGTTTGGAAAATGTGATAATTTATGAGGAAATTAAAAGTAATCAATGACTTGGTCCAACCTACTCTTAGTTTGATGTTTTCAACTATGTTATGTTATTTTTATCTTTAGGTTTTGCTTAAGGACTAGCAAAATAGTAAGTTTGGAGGTGTAATAACTCTATTATATAGAGTTATTCTGCCACATTATGATTGCTAAAAATAGCTAAGGCCTTGTGTTTTCAATTTGATTTTGGGTAGTTCTTATGTTTTTTGTCATTAAGTTTAATGCATGTTGAACTACTTTAATTCCAGTAATTTTAGCTTATTTTTATGTGAAAAGTTTTAATTTGAGCTATCACTAATTTAGACTTTGTTTTGAAGGTTCTCAAGTGCATAAGGCTTCATGAAAGTGAACCGTGGAAGGATGGCTAGGTGTAGATTTTTACTGAACATGCTACGGTATTTTGAGCATAACCCTCACTCCAAAAATTCAATTTATGTGATTCTTAGACCATTGGAAAGCTAAGAGGCAGAGCTACAACTTTCATTTATCCTTTTGCCCAGTTCAGACTCTAAGTAAGAGAAAATCACATTGAAATACAAATTCTAGAGAATTTAGTGCCTAACTGCCAGCCACATACCATTGAGGTGCCAATGCAGCTATTTTTTCTCTCAATACTTCTAGTTTTAATTTTTTAGGGTTTTTAAGGGTTTATAAATTGATCTTTTTCAACTAAGAAGGGAGAGGATTGAGTGGCAACTTTTTCAGAAAAAAAGAGTGATTTGGCACAAGAGAAAAACAAGAAGAAAGCAAGAGAAGTGAAGATTGGATTTGACAAAAAACTTTCTCTCACTTTAGTTTTGTTATATCTGTCTCTTTTGCTGTGAGCATGAATTGTTTTGATGAATTATGTTGTTTGCTTTAGTTACCATGAGTTAAACTATTTTTCTAGAATTACAATGGATTTCAACATATAATTTAAATATTTGTTTATCTTTATTTATTATGAATGGTCATGGTTTTGTTTATTCAAATCTGTTCATAATGTTTTTGATTGTCTAACTAACAATTGAATGATTTGTGAATCTAGATGAGACTCGACAGAGTAATTTTATATTGGATTTAGTTTTGAATAGTGTATATTCATGTCACTTAGAGAATAAGTGATTTGATTCACAATTAGCATAGACATACGCCTAAATGCCATGCATAGTCAAATTAGAACACTAGATTAATGAACCTTATTTAATTTATTACTATAGACATATAATGATCCAATTAAGTTAGGTATTGTACAAGCATCTTAATAAAGACTTGTGCATAGGTTTGGATTCTAGGCTAGCAAAACAACCCATGAATATAAATATTGAGAGAAATGAATATTAGATGAAGTATTGAATGAACTTATAATCCTAAGTTTTAATATGTTGCCTTTTTAGTGAATTTTTAGTTTTTGTTAATTAGTTTAATGTTTGATTAAATTTAGTTGTAATTACCTCTTTATAAAATTGAGTTCCTTGAATAAGAGTAATCTGTCATAATTTTAGTATTTAGAGAAAAATTAAGAGCAAATCTCTATGGGATACAATTCTTGACTTACTATTTATATTACTTGTTCGATACGTACACTTGCGAGTACTAAATTGTAAACAATAGATCACATATAAAACCTGCCCAACTTATTTACATTAAATACCATTTAAATAAATATCCTCATTTTTACTTCTTTTTTTTTTTTACTTTCTGTTTACTTAAGATGTTTAATGTAAATAAGCAAACAACCCCCACCCCCTAAAATTTGATTCAATAAAATATAAAAAAAATCAAAATTCAAAAGAATCAAAAACTAAATTTTAGTTTCAAGCAAATGAAACCATTTACCATAGCAAATGAACTGTAAAATTTTTGGAAAAATCATTTTTAGTCATTTAAATATCGAGGGAATCATTACCATCATTTTTTATTTCCAAAAGCTTGTTTTATAAAAATCATATATGTTGACCTTTTCTAGACTTAAAAAATTTTCTACTTCAAAAGTGATAAACAACCAAAAGTGTCAATGAATTCTTTTGAAGGTAAAAACTAAGTTTGGTATTCAAAACATGTAATCTATATACTCACATAAGGATTTCTTAACTTATCCTTTTACTCAATGTGGGATTTCACAATTCCTAAAATTAGAAATTATAGAAGAGTAATGCATATGATAAAACAAGGTAGTTTCCATATCCATATGGAATGCCAATATGATATGCAAATTTCAATGGTCTATGGACTTAAACAAGCTACTAATAATAGGAACATTTGTTTTGATAAGAAAATCAAAAGGTTTGATTTTACCAAAAACAATGATGAGCCTTGTGTGTACAAGATGATAATTAGGAGTGCTGACATATGTAAATGCCATATGCTAAATAGGAAATAGCATTTAGATATTACAATCTATCAAGCTATAGATATCCACAAAATTCTCTATGATGGAAATGGGAGAAGCAACATATATAAATAGTGGGTAAAGGGAATTAAGATTTATAGAGATAGATCATAAAGGTTGCTTGGATTGTGCTATACATAAACAAGGTGCTAAAAGAGTTTAATATGGAAGAGCCCAAAAGGATTTTCCTTGCCTCTCTACATTAACATGTTCTTGATGTCACAATAAGCGAAGATATCTCATGAATAAAAATTCTATGTGATGTTATGCATTTGACTAGACATATATTATGCTTTGAATGTCATAAGTATATACCATGCACATCTTGGTGAATGTTACTAGATAAGCAACAAAAGTACATCCCTAAGTGCTTAAGAAGATCTAAGGAAGTATTTTTTGTTTTTGGAGAAATAGGCAAATTTCAAAACATGTAAGGTTAGAATGATACAATCCTCTAGTTCAAAAGGATACTTGTAAAATCACACAATGCATAAACTTTAACTCATAATAGTGGAATGGTCAATCACAAAAGTTCCAAATGAGAGATTGACTAAAGCTTCTACGATAAAGGCTAAATACATCTCTATGTCTATGTCAGCATGAGAGATAGTTTGGATCTAGTAGTTCATAGTTGAACTTGGCGTAATTCCTAGCATTGTTGATCAAATAATAAGGTATTGTGACAACAATATAGCCATTGTGCAAGCAAAGGAGCCAATGTCTCATTAAAGATTCGAACAGGTATTAAGGTGATTGTGTTAGGATGCCATGAAAGCCAATCAGATTTCTCATAGACAATGATGCATTGCTCATAAATGATCTTCCTACTACATATGAGGAAACAATGTCAGATATTGATTCTAAAAAATGGCTAGAGGTCATAAAATCTGAAGTTCATGTGTGGGTGTGAACCAAGTGTGGAATTTGGTCTATCCATATCGATAAGGAGCAAGTGGGCCTTGAAGAGAAAGATTGATACGATTGGCAAAGTATAAAATATTTTAATACAATCCATGCTTGGTGTATAAAATAGTTTAATACCCAGTGTATTGTAGCCTTATGATTTCGACATGAAAGGTATAACAATCTTATTCCTTTTAGTTAGGATATTCTATATTAAGCAACCAAAGATTCATCTTGCTAATGAGAAAAGTTTAAAATTTTTGTTACGTTTTATTATTTGATTGCTTGACTTTTCTCGACCAAAACAACACTAATAGTGAGTTAAAGTGTGGTAAAAACAGAAAATGATATTAAAGATGGTAACTTAAACTCAATTAATAAATTTTTCGTGTATATTTTATATTTTATTTGACATTTTAAAAACATGAATATTAATTTAATTAAAAATGTAGACACATTATTTTATACTTAAATAATAATTTTTTTGCTCAAAAATTAAATATATATTTAATTAGTTTATTAATTACTAAATTATATTTATTTTTTTCATGTCATTAAGTAAAAATATTTAAAAATATAATATTTATTTAATATATAACAATATCTCAAAATATTTATTTACTAAATTAAATATTTTTCGTGATGAGTCAGCTAGACCCACCCCCTCTGAGCCCAGATTGAGTCTTTGCTAAGAGTACATGTGGGCTGCTTGGTACAATTGCGCAGAATGGTGCTTGCAAACAAGACCTAAGAACAAAAAAAAACATGTTTTGACTTTAATGTTTATAAGAAATTATTTTATAATATTAATAAACTATAATTTTTAATACAAAGAATATATAAAATATATGTATTGTAAAATATAAAAAAATAAAACCATAATAATACTTAAAAAAATCCTAAACTATTCCATTCAATCAAATTTTTTATTTTTATTTTGATTAATATAAATATTTATTTTAATTATTAATAAAAATATCACTTATCATTTAATGTCATGTGTATCATAATGGATGATGACATAATATAATATAATGACATGATCACGTAATATTTATCATTCTTTATCTTAATGCTTCGTGAATAAAATAATAATAAATAATATTTTAATTAATGATATATAATCAATCCTTAATTATAAGAATTGATTTTTTACTTAAAATAAAAATATATACATTTGGTTAAATGTAATAAAATAAAAAATAAAAATTTATTTAAATATTTTAAAATGGTTTAAGAAATTTTAAAATGTGATGTCAAAAATAAGCATAACCTTGACACAACCCATTAAAAAATAAAAGATAAACAACTCTGAATTGACTTTTTAAAAAAATTACTATTTACAATTCCAAATGGATTGTTACATTTTCTTGTTTCTCCTCTGTGAAGTAATTTTCAGAATAATACATTATTAGGGAAACAAAAACACCATTGAAAAAGCACATAAAAGTGGTAAACACTTCCCTGACAAGTGACAGCCCTTCTTTCATACATCCCGAAACAAAACCACTATCCTTTGCCTTCCAACGCAACTTATAAAAAGAATAAACATAGTAAAATAATAGATAAAAGCCACTCCTAATAAATAAAGACTAAACTAAACGCTCAAAGCTGACAAAATAAGACTACTACTACTAAAAGAATCAAAACCACACCCCTAGGCTGCCTCTTGGATCTTCATCGGCCGAAGCAAGACAAACCTGAATTTCTTTTGAGGCTTTGAAGCCACAGATATGGATGGCTTGCTTTCCTGCAAACCAATTATGTAATCCGTGGTGGACCCCCTGAGCCTGAGTTGGAGTAAACACATCACGTGAATGCACAGGCACAGCATTTAGCATCAGTGGCCACCGCAGCAACCCCTTCTTTTGTCATTCCATATCAAGAGTCACTAATTATTAGGTTCCATACTCCCAAACTTAATACGCCAAAAATTTGCAATTTTTCCTAATTCTAAGATTCTGCCAAAACCCACCAAAATCACAATGAGATTGATCACCACAATTAAAAGGTATGTGACCAAAGACAAACATATATATATAAATCAGGCAGCTTGATTTATATACATATAGATGTATTCTAGACAAGGAGATTTTATCATTGGTTTTGGCCATTCTTGACAGAATTTCAATCGAGGATTTCTGTGGCTGAGAACTCAAACTCAAACATTGATAAGTTTCTCTTTCTCAGCGGATGCCTGAACATCAGCTGTTGCTGGTGGTGCTGGCAAGTGAGCAGCATTTTCCATCTTCTTTAGGTTTTGCTGATGGTAAACTTGCCTCAGTCTCTCTATTTCTCTCTTCAATGCTTCTTGATGAGCTGAATTTACGAACGAGTCGCAAGGTTTAGTTCATATATCATCCGCAATTATACACATGGAAATGCACATGCATATAATTAGAATATAAAGATAAATTCAAACGTAGAAACCAAGGAGCTTTGTAAAACATCATGCATCGACCTAGTAGCTAAAGGCAAATCCCTACACCTGTTGAAATTTGCAGTAATAATTGTAATTAAACTGAACGATTAAGTTTGGTTATCTTTGTTTAACTTACACATAGTCTTCTGTCAACCAAAATATATAGGCACCGAATATATTAAAATGCAACATCATCAAGGGGGGCATCTATCACCAAACAATTTTCAGCCAATTTAAGGAACTTTATTACGGAGTAGCTGTTCTTTATTAAATCCAAATTCAGAATGGTCATTAAGATTTTAATTATAATTGATCCCCACAGTGGTTAACTAAAGAAACAACTACCATATGAAAAGCTTTTGCTCATTCTGCTACTCACTTTTAGTATGCTAGCTACTTACTGCTCCAATCAAATTAAGCCGTTTCCGGTTTGTAAACCGAACAAAGTCACAATCATCTTATACATAATGCATAATTCGTTTCAGCCATAGCAATGGAGTAGATGTAAGAGGCCTCCGCTCAATTTGCAGGCCTACAATGAACCGCATTTCCCCCCTAGTCCTACAATGCGGTTATTGGGTATAGGGGAAAGGAAAACTAAAAAGGGTTGCGAACGAAAATGTTGTGCTAGCTAGGATGAAGCTTTACCTAGAAAAAACTTTCTTTCTTTGGATTCTCATATCCTGTAATCATAATTATTTATAAAGCGGATTCCTTTAAAATGTTGAGTAGGGACTCAGTTCATATGATGATGATGAGCGTGCATGAGATATTATATTTATATATAGTAATTTGTAGAAGAGAAAACTTTATTATTGGTTGCATACAAAAAGTAGCTAATTATTACCATCTTTGAATATTTTGTCTTGCGCCAGTGCTGCGATTCTTTGCTTGAGAGCACTATTGTCGACGTTCAGAAGCAAACGTTGGTGGTCTAGAAATGCAACTCGTGGCGACAGCACCGAAACTTCAGCCTTAGTTGACCAGAACAAATTAATTAATGCTTTTCTTTTAGTGAAATTAATTAATTCATGATAATGGTGTTTCTTGTAAAAAATACAGAGAGGGTAATTAAATTAAACAACACATACCTGTAATGAAGTGACGCTACGTTCAAGCTCTGAAATGTATTGTAGCTTCCTCACCCGTGATCTTTGTGCAGATTGTCTGTTAGCCAGGATTCTGGTACATATTGCAAATTCAGATGGGAACACAAAAAAAAAA